AATGTGAGGTCTAGGAGTGAAAATTTAGTTGACGTGGAAATCACAGATGGCGCAAGGGGTCCCTCTGCAGTCAATTAGGGCCTCGGAAACCGTGAATCCAGGAGATTTCTGGAGTTTTACATCAATTTTTTATCATTATTGTACGAAAACGACATGTGAAGTATGCCATTTAGTACAATACCCAAAATAATTTTATACAGCTGTCAATATAAAAACGAACGTCGACAACATAGGTATTTATAAAAATCTTTTTTACCAGCGTTGATCAAGTTCCTCGGCGTATTTCACTCCCCCTTAAGTTCTTGGTGAAGGATTTTAATTCGAATGTCAGCGTAATCGACCCTAAGTTGTTTAGCAAAATTCATAGATTCATGATGAAATGAAAAAAAGTGTTCGTGGGGATAAATTGCAGGTCCACGTTGGAAGGCTGACATAAGGAGGGAGGAATCTACTAGAGATAGGTACTAAAAGACGAAGTAATTTACATTACGGAATATCAGAGGAGACATTGGGAGGAAACTTTGAATATAGAAAATTAGTTATTCGAGGTCGAGTGTGCCAAGAAAATTCATCGTAACGAGTAACTTTCGGCCGGATTCCTGTTGGGGAAGACCCCGGAAGAACCCCCGCGAATCCGCGGTCCATCCCCTCGAAATTCAGAGAAAGTGCTCGAGAATTGGAACGAAATGAGATCCTGTTTGAAATCCTTTATGTAACAGAGAAAAGTGGAAAATAAAGTTGGATACGGACCAAGGATCCATCCGCGAACTATCTTATTTCGGTATTTCTGGGGAAACTAAATTACCCACGAGGAAGTCCCCGTGCGCGTATTATGTGTACGTGGACCATTTGCTATACAATGGAATGTACTTCTAATACATATACATACTTAATGCAATCTAACCTCGTCACGATGAAAAATAATTACGCATACATCTATCCTATCTCTTCCCCATAATAAAAGTATTACGCTTTGAATTTCGATGAGCTATTCGCGCTTCGATTATTAAGGTGATATAAAAGAATCAGCCTATACATATTTAAGAAGTCCAATCGTTGGTGGAAGTATTCTCCGAATTAGGTGTACCGATTCGTTGCAAATTTTACCACGAGAATATGGAGCTTTCATATCATCTTAAGACATAGAAGTAATGTTCATTTGCAATAAGACCCTAGGTAGAAATGGCAATTCAGTATCGGTATTTTATATTGGTCTATTTTGTCGGTGATGGGCACTCGTTTGGGCAATTTTTCGGTGGATACGAGAAAATGTGGGGGAATCAGGAAAGTGTTACATGGATATTTAACCCAGGCATGCAAATTATCAACCTTGTCCCTCGGAACAGCTTAATTACATTATTAGCGACATTGAATTTCGTTGATCTAGTAAATCATCAGTTCTTTGCGGGGTGTGTGACCCGTATTTCAATTAAATAATTTAACTTCACTCCGGCGACTAATTAGATATTTAATTAAAGCGTTTTAATTGATGAAAATGTATCCGTTCCCGAAGCACATGCATTAATTTGTGAAATAAATAAATTACTTTGGGAGTAAAATGTTGGCCAACCGTTTTGAACTAAACAAGTCATGGTTCTAGACTAATGTATCCCTCCGGGTCTGTTCCATATTAATAATTATATTGTAATAATAGTTACTTCCTTTTGACGTTAAAAGAAATTCTGTGGTTGGAAGAATCGATTCATTTAATGTCTCTTATCAGGTTTTTCATCCCCGAATGCTGCCCGAAATAATGCACCAAAATGCATCTTCTGAATTCTAAAAGAGGATCCTTACCCACGACGTTGACAAAGTGTCGGCATTGCGTTACCCCACTCTCCACATTGTCGGTTTTGCCACAAGACACCGTCGCTTTTCTTCAGGTTGGATTTCTCAAAATCGCCCCTTCCGCGCATCAGTCTTCGAGTTCGTTTTTTCCTTTTCTATGGATTTAAGACGGCAGGAAGAAATCGAGAACTGGTCCGCCTGGAAGGTTCGCTTTTTATGATTCACCCCCCTTAAAGCAGGAGCCAGGATGAACGCATTTTCCCAAGATGTATAGTGCTTTTTATTTTGAGCGGTACCACCCTCCTGCGCGTCGGTACGGCTCTTTGTCGAATCCAGTGAAAGTGTATACAAGTGTATACATTAAATCTGGAATACATTTGACATTCCGTAGTGAAAGGAAACGAGGCCTCAAACCGAGATGAAAAGGGAATCAGGTGATTCTAGCATCGTCGATTGCTTTTTTCCCCCTATCCTTCATTTCACCAAGTTCATACAAATGCAAATGAACGAGTTCATCGCGAAAGTCAGTCGACGAATTATTTGATTTGCGATATAAAATGAAATATTTATAAACAATCCGCGTTAACGAGTCGCTGCATAAAACCGAAGAATTTCGCCAAATTTTCTTCTCTCGCATAAATTGTATACTACGTACACTTTTAATAATATGAGCGAAAATATAGTGCGCAAGTTGGCGCACTTTGATCGTCATTGGAGAACCTTTTGTACGCACAATTGCCACAAGTAACCGTTGGCATTGTCAACAATGTATGATCTCCCGCCAGAAAATGTTGTTAGGTTTGTAAGTCGTAATTGAAGTAACATCTAACATTTTAATCGCAGCGCAATTTGCTAACCGGGGCGTACTTCTTATGAATATGCCGGTAGAAGTTGGACGAGCGTAAAATCTACGCAGAGTATTCTACTAACGCAATTCTAAAATACAATGAAGCATCCGACAGGGCTTCGTAATTGGTAAGGAAAGATAACAATAGCAAGAAACATCACGGAAGAGCGTCTCGGCGCTCAACAATCGGCACTGCTTTGCTTCGCTGATGAGACTCTTTATTGCTTATTCTCTCTGTTTATTCGTGGCCAACGATACTTGGAAACCGAGGGAAGGCATGCAAAAGGATTTCTAGCGTGCCTCTATGAAAAAGCGGCCGGTTCAACAATGGGATGAATGCTTCTCTGAATAAAATGTCAATTACTGTAATGAGGGCCGAGCTTCCTTGACCGAAGTGCTATTTCCTCGTCCGAGAAGGCCGAAAAAGTTCTCCGAAACCTCCCGAGAAGCTGATCGCCACAAACTGTCCGTACATTGCGAACGCGCCAGAAGATACATACAAAACCATACTAACAATAATTACCACAAACACGTACAAGTAATTATAAAATTACACAACGCCCTTAAGATGATATGAAAGGGGCTGGGAAATTTAATCGAGGTCGATATATTAAAATTTATCTGTACCGTTTTTGGAGGTAACGTCATTTTGAATACTCAAATGGGAACATAAGCTGGCGCGTTACGTTACCGACATTTATATTTATGTTGAAGTCTTTTACAGTCTACGTTGGGAATTATACGATCTGAAGCGTTCCACATGTCATCTCGGTAAAGTAATGATGAAGAGATTCATGTAAAACTGTCGAAATCCCGTGAATTCATTATTCTAACGACTGTTTAGGACCAACGTCGCCATCTGTAACGTTTAGCTGCAACTCAATTTTTCCTCTAAAAACACGCGTTAGTCCTGAGCCAATTATCTTGCAATCGTTGGTGAAAGTCTTTTCCATATTTTCCCATTGGTTTTGGTGGTTTTACCCCCTTAAAGTGTTTAATGGCAGATAAAAAAAAATACGAGTCGCTTAGTTTTTAGTATACTGTAACATATTATAAAAGAAATGAAATCGGAGAGGTCAACCTGGGATACCTTCTTCGTAAGTGAAAAAATGCAAGGGCAATCGAGGTTCGGGGGGAAATGGAATTCGAGACTGTCACTGGATCTTCGATAATTTCTCCTTCCCCGATGGGAACGTATCGACGACTTCCCTTCCCGAGGGACTCGGCGCCCGCCGGAGGTAGCGGCGTTTCCGCAAGGAAGTCCTCAGACGGATCTAATTTCGCCGAGGACAACCTTAAGAAAAGCCCCTAACCGAAGTATATTCACCCGTCGACTGGGAAAGATTTACCGGGATGCAGTCTCCCTGCCCTCGCACAAGTTTCGAATCTATTCCGGACAGACAACTCGGCTAGGATCGTGCTAGGATTTTCCAATTCCCGACGCGATGCGGCGCGGACATTTTGCCCGAACGCATTGCTCAGCGATAAATTTCTACCGTATGTCAAATCTTCCGCGCGAGGACGGCCGTCCCTCTGGGAATTTGAATTTGCGTTTAACTAAATATTCCGTATTGATTAAATCTCGCGTATATCGGGGAGAAATTTCTCTCTGATTCCGTAGCTCCACTTTGGGGGAAATTGTTCCTATACAAAACATATCAGGAACGTCTCGACTTCGACTTTTGTCCGCTCCGTAAAAGGATTCGTTCAAAGAACGTAGCTCTGATCTCGGATCCGGGACGTGGTCGCTAATTAACACGTTAGACGGAGTGTTTAATTCAAGAGCCTTCTGTTTCGGTGCTTTGGAAGTTCCGCTCGTTAAAGGAGGACATTCGGCCGAAGCGTAATCGAAGCTGAAGTTGGAAGTACCTTAAGCCCCCTCCGCCTTTAAGTAGATAAGTAGGATGTAATTGAGTTGTCTCGAGTGGGCAAATTATGTGACAGTAAATTAATATTTCACGCGGGGTATTTGGCTAACGCAGGACGATCTCGGATGCCGCGAACTTGAACTTCGTTAAGCAGGGATTACTATCTTGCAGACTTAATGGCTGCTCGAGCCGCAAGAGTTGTTCTCTTCATGGACGCCCTTGACGTTGGCTTCCGATTTCAGACCTTCGAAGTGGACATTCGCATGTAACGTTTCATGTATTAACCCTTTCGTTACCTTGAACGAAATATCTCGCGACCCAATACTGGCCGATTAACGCTTTTGACGAGATATCTCGCTATCCGGTAGTAGCTGTATTTATTTCTTCCTTTTAGCTATACGAATAGAATTAGTTATAAAATATATTCATCTAGAATGNTTGTATATATATGCTGACTTTTTCATATCACTTTCAGGTCTCCTGGATGCGCAAGAGGGACATGCACATACTCAGCGCGGGGATCCTGATGTACACGTCGGACCTGCGTTTCCAAGTCATACATCCGGACAAGTCCGAGAACTGGACTTTGCAAATCAAGTCACCCCAGGATCGCGACTCCGGCATCTACGAGTGCCAAGTCAACACCGAGCCGAAGATGTCGCTGAGTTACACGCTCAACGTGGTCGGTGAGTCGCCTTGAATTATTCAAACCTGTCCAGGGCCCATAAATTCGCCCTGGCGCCGATTTTTATGAAGAACCTCCGCGGTTCTGCCGAACTTGGGTGCTTGTTTTCTACCCCGAGGAGGATGGGGCTGAAAGGAAGAAGCTCTACCTTTGAAAGTAGAAAGTAATTACTAAAATGGGGTCTAGGAAAGACCGACTCTGTCTGTGCCTCTCTAGCGGTTGTGCTCCATTTCTTGTGCTTCGAAAAACAATAGGTATTATCATATCGCACGATAACTATTCAGCGATAGGTTGGATTTACAGGATTCAAAGGTATCTAACTTGAAACGTAAGATGCAGCGTCTTTTTGTTTATTTTTCAGAATGACGACGAAATTTCGAGCTGGTTGAAGGAACATATGATTCCTCTTGTAATTATGTTTTATAGTGATCAATGTCAGGAAATATACCCTTTCAAACTTCGGGAAATGTACCTCACTTATGTCTTCAAATATTGACGTTTACAACATTCTACATGGTTAGTGGGTGCGTCTTGAATTATTCAAGCGAGCCCATAAATTTTTGCAGCCGTCGATTTTTATGGAAAACGCGAACATTGTTCTCGTACTCGGAAGGACTGATGATGTCGCCCTAGTTTTATGGGTTGGGACAAATTTTAATGTCTCAAGTATGGAGAGACATGTCTTATTTACATATCCAAGATTTTTTTCGTCTATTCATTAAGAATAAATTGGGAACCGTTGTGTACGACTTTCGCCATATTCAGTTACTAAATTCTTTCAACACGAGTGCTTCATGTACAGACTGATACTTAGGTAACAATGTGGTGTAAAGAAGAAATGACTAAGTCCATGCACTTGTTCGGTAACGACTATGCGAATGAGTACCCACTAAAGCGCCTCTTTTATCCGCCCGTAACACGCTAACAAGTGGATCGTAAAAGGGGCCAGGACTTTTAGTACTTTGGTAGTGCACAAAAGGTATGTAAAAAATATATTTCGGATCCTTTAGATCCACCAAGATATGTCCCCGCGAAAGTGGCGAACTCCCCATACTCTTATCGGAGTGAACTATGTTCCATATCAAAAACTTCCAGCAGCGCAGCATGTTTCCTTCGCAAACTCGATGTACCATCAAGATGCTAAAACTGTTCCCGAAGATATTTTTACGACCCATTTATTATCGTGCACATAGTCAAGCGTCTGAAACCCAGGATCAGTCCAATCAATCGGATTTGTGTAATAGTCACCGAAATGGTGAACTTCCTACGAAGAAGTTAACATCTCCCTTCTATGTGTATTTCCAATAATCCCGAAGGACCGACATCTTGAAATTAATCTCAAGATTAATTAAGTCTTCTGTTTTATCGGCATCGGACATTAAAAATCTCGTTTAGTACATCACTTACCATCCCAACGTACACGAAGTAAACACCCGCAGGAAATTGTGTTTTATATCAAAGACGGCGACATTTCAGCATCGTATGCTCATATAACGAACCTTAGAAGAATCTCAAGATTGATCAAGTCATTTTTTTCGCGATATCGGACACTAAAAGTCTCTTCTTGTTGATTACTTGCCGTCTCGACGGACACTTTCGAATTGGACACTCGCATGTAACGTTTCCTCTATTAAGGTGATATGAAAGGCGCTGAGAAATTTAATCGAGGTCGATAAATTAAAATTTATCTATACCCTTTTTGAGGGTAATGTCATTTTGAACACTCAAGTGGGAACATAGTCGACCGACATTTATATTTATGTTGAAGTCTTTTACAGTCTACGTTGAGAATAATCGAACCGAGGCGTTCCATATATTACTTCGATAAAGTAATGACGAAGAGATCGATGTAAAAGTGTCGAAATCTCATCGATTCATTATTCTAACGATTGTTTAGGACCAACGTCGCCATCTGTGACGTTTAGCTGCAACTAAATTTTTCCTCTAAAAACACTGGTTAGCCCCGAGACAAGCCAGTATTCTTCTGCAATCGTTGGTGAAAGTACTTTCCACATTTTCCCATCTGACTCTGTAATATTCCATTTCTACGGTATTCTAAATTGTTCGAGGTAGGTCCCGAAATTCTTCATTTTTTATTCTAAGCCTCCAAGAAGCGTATAACATCATAAACGTGCCCGGACCACGCCATGTTGGTTCTAGTCCATGACAAATAAATAAATTTTTAATGAAAAGTGAAATTTCATGTGTTTTAGGGCCTACTTTAGGGCCTCCATATTCCCGTGGTAGAATTTGAAACGAATCGGTACCCTCCCTTCGGAGAATACTTTCTCCAACGATTTGACTTATCAGATATATATATTTGAGCCTATATATACATATACATGCTGAAATTGTCATATCACCTTAAAGTCAGCGACATTCGCCCATCATATTTGCCTCTAATGAACCGGAAGGTCATTTTGGAATTAATCGCAAGATCGATCGAGTCTCATCCTCCGGTAACAACCGAGATGCGCCATTTTCTCGAGTTAGCCGCTCTTGTCCTCGATCTCTGGCGTCCCTTCTGAACCACGCCATCCCGAAGGCAATCCTCAGGGCAATCTTGAGGCAAGGACACCAGGGTGAGAGGTGATCTCTTCTGGAAACGTAATGGCCAACTTTCTCGTAAGACCGTCACGTGCTTGACTGATGGTTCCTGATCGGGGATTCGGGATGCTTTCCCGATTTGGAATTTCCTCGAGAAGGCATGCTCGGAAAAATTAATAAATCTGGATTTCGCGAACCCGTCGCGATAACTACACCGCTAAGGGAATTCTACTGGTACTGATAAATCCCCCAAAATTGCGAAAAAATTTAATTCATATGGAAAGTGGCTGAAATGACCCAGGATATCATTATTGACATTTCTAAGGCGGGAACGAGGAATTACTCCAAAATGTGGAGACGCTGCTTCGGGATCTCTAATTTATACAGTAATTCTAATGGCGCAACCAAATGGTGAAAACGTCGTAATCATGTATTCATGGATTCATTGGCCAAGGTAGATTATTTAGGGCGGGGTCTTTGCCTTGTGGGTTTACAGACGCATCCATTATACCGATGAACATTGCCCGACTTTTGTGTGGAAAGTCACAGCGAAGATGAATCACCCGAAGACCACACCCGTGTGGTCTTTACGCAGCCGTCATTAAGAGTGATGGGAGTCGGAATACTCTGAGACTCGCGAATAAGGATAAATATGCAGCTCCGATGCAAACGGATCGCGATGTGTAAATGCGTCGAGGTAGTTTAAATAGGAACGGACTATTCGGCTCGAAGTCTGAAATTGATCGATCATCGAAATTAGTACGTTGATAGAGTTATAAGTTGATGAAATGGCCGTTTTGTGGAGGGGACTTCAAGAATTCTAGTATCACGTTGAACAACAACTACCACCACAGATACCGACAAACTCTCCCCGTCGGGGTACGGTAATCTAATGGCGTTTATGAAGGAACTGCATTTCTCCTAGGCACGGAGAAAGTGAGCTATAAAATTTCTCCAAGTTAGTTTGTCGAGTTTCAGACCTCGTCACCGAGGTTACGAAATTGGGCTAACTGACATAACAACCAGCTCCCGCTGTTGGGGCACCTTGCTGCGCGGGAACACTTTGGAGTCAAGGAACGACAATCGACGTAGATTTGTATCGTGATTGAGGCTTTCTAAACTTTTCTCAAGTCACCGAGGCAATAACGAGCTTACGCCGTTGCTAATTTCCCCTAGCAAGTGCAGGAACGTCTTGCAGTCTGTTGAGTCGCGAGGAAGAGTTCTATTAGGATTCGGCGTTATCGAATCGTGTCCTTCTTCGCGGTCGCCCGCCAAATTTATTTTACTCCACTAGTTTTGATGTAACACAGGAATAAATTATTTTATTATTACTAGCCAACAATATAAACGTTTACGTGCAGTTATGACATTTGCTGTACTGATATAATACTATTGCTAGAGCGTTATGTGGCTCGTTTGATCGGCTCGTGTTATGCAGTTGGAATGTAAAAACGTAGCGCAGACGTCCTCAAATTTTAAGTTTGTTAGGCGGAGTAAAACAGTTTTGTCTTAATGATATTGGTTAGGTAGGTGAAGTCAAACTATTCTTTCTCGAATTCCATTGGTTGCCGTGGAACCCTGCAATTCGGAAAAATGGCATGAGGCTCAACTAGCTTGTAATAATTTAAGTCCTTCAGGATGCAACAATTGAAGTCCTCAAGTGGACGAGGATCGGTTGGACCTCCCTTGGACCGAGACATTGGGAGACAATGAAGAGTTCCGGCGCCTATCCGAAACCTTTATTTAGGCCACTGTCCAGATATCCTTTAGCATCCATTCCCTGAAGACTTCCAGATGTGGGGGCACGAGTTACAAAACCTCATGGATGCTATTGTTCGACATTCTGAAAAATTCATTTCACAATGCTTTTGCTTTTAACTACAAACTGAATGTTAGACCTAACACGGTCTTCGGAGTCAGGCTCACACGGTGATCTTCAATTCTTTCCGCAATTAATAGAGATGCGAGTAGGCTTCATTCTTCCATTATTGCGTCGAAATTACCCCAGAATCTTGGAACTAAAAAATGATATTCAACATGGGTTTGGGAGAGTCTGGACCAACGAAACTTTCTGGACCACTTCCAATTAACCAACCCAACAAGGAGCTTTCGCTTTCACTGTGCCTTGGGTACATGGCCCCATATTTTACCGTGAAAACCCGACAATCAACCCAAACTCGGGCCGCAGTCAGAGCATTCTAGACTTCTTCCAACAGACTTTCCCAAAATTGAAAAGGATTTAAGGGAACGAGAAAAGTCCAAGTTTGTACGTGCTCCGAAATTTCGAGGCCCAGAACTCGCCGCCTAGCCGAAATCGATCCCGCAGCCTCTCGTCCACTCGGACTGTGATTTGTCAGAAAAGTTAGAGCTTATTTCCCGCGAAATGTTTGCCATTGCCGGCAATTTATCTCGTCCTATGCACGACCACGACCGTCGAGCCGAACTGACCGGCAA